TATTCTCACCCTCATAACCCAAGTGCTCAAATAATTTCGCCCTCCAAATCAACGTCATTTTCGCTAAAATTACTGGCTCGACAATCATCAGTAGACGATATCAAAGAGTTCAAACATTATATTCGCTCTATGAAGCAAGCTTAATTAAATATAGTGTTTAACAACGCTTAATAAATGTATGTAATTGTATAATCACTTTGGAATACGATATATGACAGCAGATGATTATAAAATGCGTGAGATTTCAATCCTGTTAGTGAACTTGTGTCTAGTTGTGTGACTGATTCCATTACCTTATACTCTAATATCCTTAAGATTCCTTTGGTTGTACGCTATCAATGCATAAATACTTGAGACACTCTGAGAAATCTTTAGTGGAGACCCGTTATTTAATCGTCATTTAGATCGAACGATGTTGTCGAAAGGGCTCTCCACTTTGATGGCCCGAGATCTGACTCCAAGGAGATCGTTATGATGATTGTTGTTGAAATATATATGTCGCCTATCCTCGTGTATAATCAACGACTTTAATCGCTTTAGTTAATGACGGATTTAGATAAGTCAAATAACGAGATTGGACTTTTCAATACATATATTTTGTATATGAAGCGAATAGAATAGAGAGAAGAGAAATGACACGCAGTGGAGATGATGTGTAAGCCAACTCCGCTTCAACCAAACGTTAATCAATATTTATAGTTACACAAAAATAAGTCACAGACATGTGATGAGTAATGGGGTAAGAAACGTACACACACCTACGCGCTCATATAAAAACAGTCAAGATTGATAAGCGAATAACCAACAAGGTCAGAATGTGACTCAAGTAAAATGAATAGGATGGGCTATCCGAAAGCTAGAATAAGTTATATGGGCTTAACATAATAACCGACACTACAAATCAACACTCTTGACAGTTTGAATTCATTCGAAGACACTACAGATTAGATCAGTCATCTGATACAGTCCTGGACTTATTTCACTGCAATATAGTTACCAGGTATTATGTTGTCTGTTTTTCTATTTTAATACAATCTCTAGATCACAAACGCAGATGATCTATGTCCAACGAGTGGGGACCACTACTCTATTTGCCAGTCCATGGCATACGACTAACGGATGCGCGTTGGTTGTCGTTGACTTTTACAGGGGTCGATGGTCTGTTTGATATTCAGTGACCCAAATGCCGCATTATTTGGCCAAGGCTGTGACATTCCCATGGCCTTGTAAATCGTTTGTGATCTTGAGTACAATTGTTAATATAAATCCGGTTCTTTTAAAAAGATGTACATTTATGGTGTTATTCCAATACTACCATTACTTAAGCTCAGTTGTGTCCTCTCATTCTTATTTTATCTTATTTGTTTATTAATACTGAATATGTTAATTCCATCTTTTATATATATATCCAAGATAGTTTGCATATTATTTCTCAGTTCGTTCGTTTATATTCGGTCAGCTAATATATACTTGATGAATAACAGAAAAACAAAAGACTTAAACCCTCACGACATGAAGACATTGTATATTGAGTTATAGCGCGGCAATCGAAGAACGATAGTCAGGAGGGAATTTCAATTCCTTTGTCATGAGTAAGTGATTGATTAACTGAATAATTAATTAATGAGTAAGTAATTAACATTTCCAGACCCTAAAACGTTAGTTTAATTACCAGATCTGTTTATTGGCACTGCTTGGTTGAGCGGCAATAAAAGCTGAATCACTGTATTTTGTTGTGAACATCCTACTGAGGGATATGGGATCTCGAGACTGGATTATATATAAAGTGTCAATGGTTCGGCTGCTGTACTGCCTAGTTTGACAGAATAAAAGTCAAAAGTTAATAACTCATACTGTAAGGCTAACCATGATAAGCTCCGAAGTTACTCGTTTAAGATATGCTTTTTTTCATAGTACTTGGTTTTTGATCGTAGAGAATCAAGGCACCTAGATCTTTTTGAACTTACGATATTTACGGTTGAAATTTTATGGTCTGAGATTCAAGATACAGATGGAATCGCGTTCCTAATTCTGGGGAAAATTTGGCACACGTTGGAAGGAATTTTGGGTCATTCGACTAGGGGATTTCCCCAAAGTTCTCCAAAATTGGCAGCTCGGGTACGTTCATGAATGCTGTATATTTCAGGGTTTCTCTATCAGCTTTCGATTATTGAAAAATATATACACTTATGGTACAAGTTGAACTGTACTTACGGAATTGTAGTCATCAAACGAATGAGCAGGATATTTTAAGCATTGAGATATTGTGTTTCCAAGCCCGTTGGGTAATAAAGACATTTTTTTCGACCGCTGTAGTACTGCTCATAAGTACACATTTCGACTTAAGCTTGAAACATCATACGTGATGGTTCGAAACGTTCGCTTTTGCGGTGTTATAATATAGAATAAATGTACCTATCGCCACTTCCCGAACTTCATTTTGTAATAAAAATATTCATAATTGAAATTTATTCGGCGAAACTATAACTTTAGTGAGAAATCTACTCATCCATCTGATTAAATAGTTTTGGCATCATAGCTGATGTCAGTTCGTGATGAATACCCCAAATCTAATTCTTAACCTTAAACATCAATTGTAAATCATAATTCTAATTCCTGACACAGGCTTATAATACCCATTCGGTGCTAGTTATTAGGTGAACACTCTCAAGGTTAGTTTAGCGTCTCTCCAAGGTTGTCCATAAGTTATAGTCTAACCGTTTATTCTATTACAGAACGAAGTATAATGTTAGTCCTAAGACTGCGGCTTAGTAGTTAAGGGGTTTTAATTCCAGCCATAGACAGATATCACCAACATAGAGCCTGTCATAGATATACGTTTGCCGTAGTTGCCACCAGCTTATCATGACGAGATGAAAAAAGTGGTCAAATTGTAGTAGCAACAAGAGAAATATTGAATGTTTGGAATATGGTTTGAGAAGACACAGTGTAAAGGTATGTATGAAGGCGTACTAAAATTCTTTATCAAGATTAAAAGTGAATACATGTGGGGGCGTGTGAACGATTCTGAGCCATGTCACCCAAAATGTTTTACCATCCGTTGTGGGTATTACGCGATCACCAACCAGGCAATCCTTATCTACTAACATGGCTTAAACCGGCAGTCGATAACTTCATGAACTGGTGTCAAGTTTTAGTTTTTCCATCCCTAGCTTTTCTCCAACCTATCTCTGTACTAGTAAACATCACTTTTTGAGATAAGCGGTAATTAGATATACATAAAATGTTTCCTAACTATCCCAATCAATAAACATTCCAACCTCACCAATCGATTTCCCTTTTTTGTCAGGTACCATATATATGACTTCAACATTTATTTAATTGCACAAATATTAATGCGAATAGGTAAGAAATAATTATGTACCACACAGTAAGAAAATAAGGTTGTAAAAAGATAGAAAAACGTGGGCGGTTGTAATCAAAAGCAGTAAATAAATGAAAACGAACGAACAAAATTAGTATGTAGTGGTAAGAACAGTTCAGCCAAGATAAATGCAGCTGGAAAAAATCGCAAAATAATCACAACAGGACCTTCACTGGTTTTTGTCCTGAGCCTTTTCTGAACTTGTCTCAAGCCACTGAATCGGTCTAACTCTCAGATCCCTAGGGGGGAGCTGTGTAGGACCGAAGGCTTCCAGTCATATACAGCTATCTTGTATATACTGACCGAGTGGTCCTATGAAGCACGATGTTAGGTTCTCTGGAACGATATTCGTAACACATGTCCGAACCACTGAAGCAGATACTTCAAGATGGTGACATCGATTGAATTATCGTTACTATGCCCGAAAACCGAAATCACTAACATGGTTTTTCCATTGAATATCAGCAATCTTTCGTAGACAATGGTGATCAAACACAGTCTTAACATCCTCGTCACAGAGTGGCCATGTTTCACAAACATCGAGCGAAACTGCTCTCGCCGACGCATTGCAAACCAAACCCGGACCAACATCATTACGGCACCAAAGATGGCCCATATTTGAACAAATTACTCTGGCTATCGCTGTACGTAAATCGATCTCGTCAGTTTCGCACTCACCAGCACTCACAACCTTCACAAAGTTAGGCGTTCACATCTAATAATGGTGGTAGGTAATTTTAACACCGAAGTAAGTAGAGTAGAGCAAACGAAGAGGCACTTAGATGGGTCTTACGGTGTCGCGGCTCAGCGAGCAGGTAATGTCAACCGTCTGCTGCAACTTTGGTGCTATCAGAAGTATGGGGACAATAGTATCTTCTCGGTTGCCCACATCGTGGAAGTATATTTTTTTGGGACCTGAAAGGTAAACTATTAGTGGTAGTCTTAGCGACACCACAGAGATGTGTTAACTTCGTACTTGAAAAGTCTTATTGGCGGAGACGGAAATCCATGAGGTAAGGTCAGGTGTGAAAGTTTTAAGGTTGACCTCTTCAAGTCTCTTCGGTCGTGAGAGGGCATATTTGCTGCACATGCTGATTATCCGAGAGAACCTCCTTACTGCCATTTCACCCCTGTACCGTCATCATTAGAACTTTGCCCCCAGAGTTTTCTGCTTTTAATCTTACTATTCTCCAACCTTGCTGTTTGGAGTGGTGGAACTCATAGGAACAGGTGTTTCAGCCAATACAGCTCAGTTGGATTATTACGATCTCCAAGCTCAACCACCACGCCAATGTAACAGTTACTGTTGTTTTCAACAACTAGGTCACAAGGTAAAGTTTGACTCATTTGGTTTGTTCGATTAGGTATTATCATTAACCGTCACACATTGTGCAGTTCAATGCCAAGTGCACGAATATGCACCCGGTACATAAGTTTTAAAAAAGTTGTTTTTTGCTTGTTTTGTCTTGATCCACTCTCGGTTCACATGTTCCAAGTCCCTCCAAAGTTTTCTTTTTCTTGATATCTTAGGCATAAATCTTTAAATCAATTCTCTTTATTTTTCAGAAATATTACTTCGGTAGAACAAGTCAACAAATAGCACTTTGTAACTGCTATGATTCATGTTACAGAAGGCCCTTTGAATATAGACCTGTTGCGTGAAAGCTATCAGAACGAATTTTTCAGCTACATCGATGCTCAACCTTCACCTAAGGTATAATGTTACGTAGATATTGTGTTTAATGTATTGTAGGTTATATATTGGGAGAAAGATCTGTTAGCCCATATGAGTTCTGTAGTAAACAATTCGGATTTGAAAGTAATTTTGATAGTGTTTACAATCTTTAAAAATGTTTAGAAACATGGTGTTATAAATTCATTTCTTCTCCAATCTGCCAAAGATTCTTATTCTCCTTCAGCGTGTAAATCTGTAATATTTATTATAAGTCCAAAAGTTAGTATTATTGACTCTGTACAATCATTTTTAGTAAGGTAAGTAGTGTTCTGTGATCTTTTTTAATTATTTTAAAAATAGAGATTCACAGTCCAACCAAAGTGCTGGAAAGCAATATAGTATTATTGCCATTCCGAGGATTTCCCTTGCTTGTAAAAGTTTTTTAAAAGAAAAAAAGATGACCAATAAATTTGCCATGATATCTGAATTTCCCCTAACAATAGTACCTGTAGAATGTGATGTTCTCTCAATGGAAGATTCGCAATGTTTTGCTGTTTGTCTTTGTATTTGTTTTACCATATCCAATGATTATATTTTTCATCTAGAATTACTCCATTTCCGAACGTCAGGATGGTGTCTATCAATTTGTACAAGGTTTGATGCGATTTCAGTCAATTTTTGGTCTGTTCCCAAAAATTTATGCTAAAGGTGAAAAGGCCATAGTAAGTGATTATTTATATAGAGTTTCATATAAAACTTAATGTGTTAGTATATCAATTTAATGTATGTGTATTAGGCAATTTTTCTGGTAAGCGTTTTTTAGAGAGGTAGTTTTCTACGAGATGGGAACGCTAACCACATGCCCAACCCTCCTCCTTTACCCGGGCTTGGGACCGGCAGTAACTCTAGAAGAGCTACAGGCGGATCGTCAAACTGCATCACGAGGCAAGCCCTAACTTGGAATCCTGGAGGGAAGCGGAAAAGAGGAAGGCCAATGAACACATTACGTCGGATAATAGAAGCAGATATGAAAAGGATAAATAACAACTGGAAGGAGCTGGAAAGGATTGCCCAGGACAGGGTTGGATAGAGAATGCTGGTGAGCGGCCTATGCTCCTTCACGAGGAGTAACAGGCGTAAGTTAGTAAGTATTAGGCAATATACGGAGTTATATCTAATGATATGCTTTTTGTAAAACTAATTGTACTGTTTTTTTAATAGTGTAAACCTATTATAAAGTTCTGAAGTTGTAAAAATAATGACATTTCGTATTTTAACACTTTGTTTGAAAAATGTCTTATTATCAGAGAAGGGTTTTTGTAGATATCTTATTAATTTGGTAGTTGAATTCATGAATCAATTGAAGTTAGATCACTATGAAAAATCTGGAAGCACTGGACAACCGTTTCGTCGTAGGATGGGACTCTTCAGCAGTGCGCATCCAAGTTCCCACCTCGTGAGATTCCAACACAGGATCTATTGGTCTCACGCGCGAGCACTTGACCGCTAATTTGGTAGGTCCTGGGTTCGGATCTCGCGAGGTGTTACCATAGATGCGCACTGCTGAGGAGTCCCACACTAGAACGAAATGGCCGTCCAGTGCTTCCAGGTTTTCCATAGTGTTCTAGCTTTAATTGGTTCATGAATTCAACTATTAAATGTTTTAATGTTATATACATCAAAATGTTTAAATATCTCTCACTGCTTTGTAGAATTCACAAACAATATAAGTAGTATGTAAAAATCTCAGCAAAATTGATAACTAAATAACCTTTTCTGATATATTCCAAGTTATAAATCGTATAGATACATTTACATCTATTTATATTTATTTCAAATACGTTCATTCTTTAGGGAGTGGCCAAAATGTTGCGGCGTATGTCTGATGAAGCCAAAGTTACAAATGAACATCAACCATCAGTCACTGCATTAGATGAAATTGAAAGCCAAACTGAATTATTAATTCTTATTGATCGAGCTGTTGATCCTTTAACTCCTTTGTTAAATCAGTTAACGTATGCGGGACTAGTTGATGAGAAATGGGGTATTCGTTTTGGTAAGCTTAAACGTTTCGTTTAATCAAATTACAGCTAAATTAAATAGTAATCTTTATGGTTGCAATTAAAGTGTATGAGTAACATCGTTTTGGTCACGAATTCGATTGCCATGACTAAACCTTCACTTTATTTAAGCAAATAGCACATAAATCACCTTTTGGGAAGTGCTAGTGACACAGTTTGATTCTAAGTAACATCATATAGTACGATGGTTTGTTAATGTTATGTTTTTATCTTTCATAACCAAACACCTGAAATTTCCATCACCCATTACTTGGTGACTTACAGTATTTCTGTTATCATAATGGTTGTATCTGCTATACTTCTCTGTAACCCGTTATTTTAGTAACTTACTTTATACCACTTTCCGTAATACAACAGTTTTTATCTGTTGTTCTTTATCTCTGTAAATCTTGTTGGACATTTCCATCATATTATTACATCTCAGAACTAACTCTTAACATATGATTTAGTATTACCATAAACGGAATAGAGGTCAGCAACATAATAACAGGACAAGCTAAGCTATTCCTCTGCACGCCAGCCCTGTTAACCAACGGAAGAAGACCTGATTCAGGCGAGAAAACATATAATTCTACAATCAGCGCAGAAGGAAAAACAAACAAACACACAACTCATATATGTGTATGTACAATACAAAAATGTCATAAAATAGCGTACTAAAAGAAACAATGAAGCAATAATATTTTAGGTCCTTCTAAGTGGGAAGCACAAACTGAAACTAAAACTGGTCGCTTTTGGCACGAAAGTGTGACATTCAAATCGATTATAGACTACTAAAAACATTCGTAAAAACCCTTTTGAACAATTACACTTTAAATGTGTATTAAGCGTAAATTTGTTTCGATATTGCATAATTAGTACTAAAAATTGTAACTAAACAGTGCTATTATCATTATTATTACTATAGTCACAGTAATTAATTTTTCATGTAATTAGATAATCAATAGTTTATAATTTGGTGTCACATTTGATTAGTAAATAGCTATTCTATTTTCACTGATCCTTCTAAATAGTTAGCTGTTAAATTCATTTGGTGTTGTTTTACTTGAATCTTTCCATTGATGTTTAGGACTGCAATTGATCAATCTCTTGTTGACATAGGTGCATATTGTGCGTATTGCATCAATATTAACTTAAGTCACAAGCTTTTTAAGCAAAGATGGATAGTGGCTAACAGTGGAACCCAGGACACGCGACACTTCGTCCTATTTGGGACTCGTTAGCTGGATGTACCTGCATCCCAGAGTTGATGCTCACTCCGGGACTCGAACCGAGTACCGTTCGCTTATAGAACCATCGCGTTATCCACTTAGTTACTGATTCCTAAATAACAACCGAAAGATATAAATAAAACAACAGCAAGTGAATTTAAACTTCACCCCATTTCACACGCAGGTGTCCATCAAGACTCACTAACTAAGTGGATAACGCGATGGCGTTTGAAGCGAACGGTACGGGGTTGGAATCCCGGAGTGAACAGCAACGCTGAGATGCAGGGTATATCCAGTTGATGAGTCCCAAATATGACGAAACGTCCAGCGTTCTGGATTCCACTGTTAGCCACTATCTATCTTTGCTTAAAAAGACTTTTAGCTGATCACGGATGCGCTTCTCCCCCTCTAAATGCAAGTTATTGCTTCAGGACTGGCCTGCGTCAAACCTGAACTAAGGATAGAGAGTGAAGTAGTCGAATGCGTTGACAACTTCACTTATCTTAAAAGTCTGACTCCGACCTTTGCTGCTATCTTGACGCGGCGGTCGGGCTTGCCTACCGTGATAAAGCAACTGGGATATACTAGCTGGAATAATCGTTTCTCAAGGTCCTACCTTGCCAAAAAGGTCGGTTAAAGAACGGTAAGACTAAAAGCAGCAAACTCAAGGTCCGAAAGCGAAGTCGTACAGCTGACTGTACAGAGGTGTGACAGCGGTAAGGTGTTTCCTTCAGACAACCAGCATAACAGCAATGCTGCCTTCCCACATGGAGGGGTGGGGTTAGAAATTGTCGACCCTAAAAATGCACACCTCGCCTTATCCCACGGATATCCGTCTCCGGCGGTAAGGTCTCAACAAGTACGGCGCTAACAAGAAAACTACTCACAAAAAGGTCGTGTGTGACCGACCTCAAGCACTTGTCCCTTAGGCACTGCGGTCACTCTCTCAGGTCACTAAGACCACCTCTAATCCAACTTCCTTTTCAGGTACCTTTAGAAGAACCCTTCCACGGTAATAATAGTAACTCATTATTGTTTGTAATTATTAATGTTGTAAAGTTTTAATGAAAATGACTTTTTATAGGCAGAAAGATAATAAAGATCTGTTTATATTGGGATTTTTCTCTTATTTATGTGATTTTTATTATCAGAATGGGTTTTGTGGAGATTTTTAGAAATTTCACTGGTTGAAATCATGAGTCAATTGGAGCTAGATCACCATGAAAAACCTGGAGGCACTGGACGGCCGTTTCGTCCTAGTATAGGACTCCTCAGCAGTGCGCATCCACGATCCCGCCTCCCGCGACGTTCTAACCCTATACTTATCAGTCTCGCGCCAAGCGCTTAACCAACTAGACCACTGAGCCGGCCGGCCGGCATCCAACGGTGTTAATGTCTAACTTCAACCAATCCACGAAGTTGCGTCACCGTACATCATTGTCTTCAGTGAGTTCCTATCTCACAACAGACGTGGTTGAACTCTACTGGTAACAACTTCTCACTAGAACTCCAGGAGTGTCTCCTGAAGTCAGTCACTAGTGAGCAGATGATTATTATCAGAATGGGTTTTGTGGCGATTTTTGGAAATTTCACTGGTTGAAATCATGAGTCAATTAAAGCTAGACCATCATGGAGAACTTGGAAGCACTGATTTGATTTTTGTTATCCTAACTAGATTTTTCTTTATTCAATTAGAATTGTTAATATATTTTTTTCTATTTTTATAGGTATTTGTCGACCATGTTTTCAAGCTGAAAATGAATCTTCCAAAAAATTCTTATTAAATTCTTCAGATTTAGTATATACTGAAATAAGAGATCGAAAATTTTCTGAAGTTGGTTTAATTCTATCAAAAATTACTAAAGAAATTTCTACACTTGTTACTGTAAGTTATATGAATGTAGTTTTCTTATTTCGAGAACTGATAAATTAGATCAGATGATATGTGATCTAGCAACTTGATGTAAGATCTCTGAATGTAATTAGGAATAAAGATAACGCATAAATGTAGATTTAGAAATGTCTTCATAAGAATCATGAGCAACTATGCGCGACTGGAAAAAAAAATGCTTGGAACACTAAATAATGATTCAACTGACCTGCGGTTATTTTATAGTTACTGGCTGTTAATCCAAAAGCCTAAATAGATTATTGACAGCTCTTAGATTGCAAAGACTATAACTAACCTGAAGCAATGATGTGTAGGGCAAGCCAACCTTAAAAATGATAGTCTAGAGTGTTTATTAAAACTAGTTATCAAATTATGTATATCCAAGGCGTTCCGTATAATGCACTTTGATTGATCTCATTTTCCCAGTTTTCTTGTAAAGCCAATGTTATATGCTAACCATTGGTTATTATTATGAAACAATATATCAACATCGGAGCTAACTTGTCGTTGGTGAAAATCGTCGTTTAATTTTCGCACTTTAATAACAAATTACGGCCTAATGTACTCATCTTTGACTAACACCTTATACAGGAGGGTTAATGATACTAGGTTTTTGCCCAAACTAAAGTCTCTGGAACGTAGGCCCTAATCAGCAACGTGGTAATTGAGAGTAGAGGACTTGAACCAATAGACTAACGTTACACAAATAAAGCTCTTTAAATTCAAATAATTCATTGCTGTGTACACAAATTCACAGCTACTATTTACATACTGAAATGGTGAAGAAGATTTGTAGCTGAGGTGGATGATCTCGGTGGATTTTTAATCTCTGAGCTGAATGGTTTGATCGTGGAGCTTTCATCCTTATTCTGAACGACATCATGACAAAATGAAGTATTGGAATTTTTCCACATATGACTCACAGTTTGTCTTGTCAACCTTGATCTTGACTGGCTATTGTTGACCTTTAACGTGTTACTGTTGACTTCTTTATTTTGATTGTATCTCCCATTGATTTGATTCTTGGTCCTATATTTGTCCATGATTTTTTTGATTGGTTGATAGATTGGATCGATTTCAATGTGTTTGTTGATTGCCGATTGACCTGAGTGTCAAGCCTCTAAAAATTCGCTGATGTTTTTAGAAATCCTTCTATTCAAGATCTCAACATTTTACCAGTCGAGCGTATGTCCACATTTGTCCACATATGCATTAATATAGGTGAGTATACGTCATGGCGTTTGATCGCTAATTGGTGTTCGTGCAGGCGAAGGTGAAGAGGGCGTCCACTTTGTCCGACGTAGTGTTTTTCGCAGTTGGAGCAGTTTATTTTGTAGATGATGTTCGGTTTTCTTTTGCCATTTCGTTCTTTGGTTTGCATAGGATTGATTGAAGTGATTGTGTTGGTTTATGTGTTACACCTATTCCAAAAGGCTTCAATAATCTCGTAATTTCTTATGTCTTTTATATATGGTTCAATGATCCGTTTGTTGGTTTCTGTACTTGATTTTGTTTCTGCTGGTGCATTTGGTTGATATTTTCGGTGAAGTTGACTGCGTCGTTGGTGAGGAGCGGGGATAGAGTTTTTTTTGATAAGCTTGATTCAATTGAGATGAATAAGGCTGTTACATCCAAGGATATCATCATTTCGTCGTTATTCACAAATTGTACGGGAGATTTGATGGAGTGATTAGATGAATTCAATAAGTGTTTCAATATTCGTGAAAATTTTCTTGACTAATTGTATGTTGGGGAGTGCCACAATTGGACGTAGTGGGATGTTTGGTTTGCGTATTTTCGGTCTACCGCAGAATCGAGGGAGTAGTGGTCTATTGAGTTTCATTCTTCATTGATGTTGCCTTGATATTTGTCCTGCTTTGACAAGCTTGTTTAAAGTCCTTAAGATTTAGTTGCCTGACCTTTTGACTGGATTTGTGTTCATTGGTTTATATACGCTTTCATCCTTAAGGGTTCCTCAGTTTTCCTGATATATTGTTCCTTGTTCATAATCACTAGTGCATCCTTCGCCTTCTGGAACTATGACAATATCTTCTCTAGTTCTGAGTTTTTTCTAAGGCTTTTTGTTCTTGGGAGGTCAGCTGGGTGTTGTCTTTCTTCCATGGAGTTAGCGGTACTATACTTCGTCTTATTTCCTGTTGCGTTTCGTCACTTATTCCGTCAGTTTTGAGTGATGACTCTAGTGCTGTGAAGAATTCTAGTTCTTGTACTGTAGTTCAATTCGTTTCAGAGCAGGTGTTCTATGTTTATCAGAGGTTGCTTTGACAGGTTGACCGTGCATTTGTATTTTCTGCCGTGGGTGGTTTTGAAATATTGATTAGTTTTTTCTTTTTTCTCTGTTCTCTCTTACACTTGTCGGCAGAACGTGCTGACGAAGACACTCTCGGACAAAAGACAGTTTTTCTCGGGTGGAAGCCATTATTTTGGCGAAATTTTCTCATTTTCGAACAACAAGAAGTGTTTAAGATACAGAGCTCCAATCAACTCCCCAATGAGATGTAGAATAGCTGAGCAAAGTGGAAGAAAAGTGGTACGCCTAACGATAACTGATGCACGCTACAGGATCCACAAATACCAACCCGTCACGGATGACAACAGCCATCGAGCTATCATGCAAATGACATAGATTCGTTTTTTCTTTGCTCTCTGTTCGAACACTTCACTTCTGCCTGAAGTTTGTGATGATGTCGTTCGGAATAACGATGAAAGCTCCACGACCAAACCATCCAGCTCAGAGATTAAAAAGCCACCACTATATACACACTTTTTTGTAGATGAATTTATTGATCACGTCAACGTTGAAGATTATTTTTTCGTTGTATGTATGATCTTTAGTGAAATGTTAGCATGTTGCATATGGGTCACCAGAAGATGTAATAACCAAATTAATCTCATTAAATTTTTTGTGTACAGTAAATAATGGACTAAAGCTGCTAGGTGTGTATTGTGTTATGTTTCTTCCATTTTATCAGTGGTTAATTGTAGAATTCTTCTGTTTTATATACACATTTCAAGCAATCCAAGTCAGCCAAAGAACTAACCGATTTACGCGTTGCCGTTAGTCGGATTCCCGAAATTCGCTCAAAACAATCACAGCTGGAGATACGTAAGTCCTTTTTTTCCAGAATACTACTGGTTTTTAAACAGTCGACTTATCGGTTTCTCTCAACATTTTTTGAAGGTCAGTTTTAATCATGGACCAACGTCACTTGGAAATTTTTTAAAAAATTCAGTAGCATTGAATGACTGTTTTGTTCTAGTTTATGACTCCTCGTCAATGCTCTCTTACATTTCTTTACCTCACATAGTACCTTGGACCTTTGGGTCCATCGGTAAACACAATACTTATATCCTACAAAGTCGGATTCTAAACGGTCTTTATTTTCAACTTCGGTAAGTTTGTGATAATAAAACCATCATCTAGTAAGGCGGCAGAACCCCAAAAGTAACAGATTTTCACTGTTAGACTAGACTATCCCGTATTTCTTGGTTTATAAACATTAATTACCGTTTACTGACTATAATCCTTTAATGGACCGAACCAATTTGTTCTATTTTTAGTTTACTGTTACTTTTCTATGTAAACAACCTTCTTCTAGATACTTCACTCGCAGAAGAAATACAAAAATATGTGAGCACTGATGATTTCTTATCAATTTTAAGAGCTCAGCAAGGTAATGTTCTATGCGTTTTTGTGAAATTCCATTCTTTTTATTTCTATTACATGTACTTTTGTGCTTTAAGCAACGTTTATGTGATTGTTATTTTATGAATGAGAACTTTTTAATGAATTGTCTTACTTACTTACTTACACCTATTACCCCCAATGGAGCATTGGCCACCGACCAGTATTCTCTAGCCCATTCTGTCCTGGACCTTGCTTTCTAGTTCTATCCAATAGTTGTTCGTTATTCTCATATCTGTCTCTATTTCTCAGCGTAATATGTTCTTTGGTCTTCCTCTTCTCCTTTGGCCTTCAGGATTCCATGTGATGGCTTGCCTTATGACGCAGTTGAGTGCTACCCTCAATGTATGTCCTATGCACTTCCATCACTTCTTCCTGGGATCTGGTTTGTTCTCTCCCATATTAGATTGTTGCTGATAGTGTCTGGTCAACAGATCCGGAGTATTTTGCGCAGGCAACCGTTAATAAACACTTGTATGTTCTGGATGATGGCTTTCTTAGTTCTCCAAGTTTCCACCCCACAGAGTAGAACTGTCTTGATATCTGTACTAAAAATTCTGATTTTACTGAAATTAAGAAACCGATATTTTAGCTTAATAAGTGACATCAATTATTCAATACAGTGTATGCTATTGAGGTATGTGAATGAAATGATTCAACAAGACCATTGAGTGTATGAAAACTATGAATAAATATCTGTCACTTATAAACATCGTAGAATCTGTGACATATTTACTTCAGTTGAAGTTTTCACATAATATCAGTACAGTTGGATGAAATTATTAAGAAAGATCTCAGAATAGCAGAAGGAATAGTATTGAAAACAAGATAATCGATAAGGTACAGATAACATAATTTGAGAAGAACTATTGTATTCCCAGATTAAAAGTATTAATATACCTTCCCTTAATTTATTGGATTCGCCTGAGATTCGGTAGAAGGTTGCTCATTGGTCATGCATTGGTTGAAGTTAGATATTAACACCGTTGGGTCCCGGCTCATGAGTCTATAGGTCACGCGTTCACGCGCCAGACCGAAGGTCCTGATTTCGAACCCCTTCCTTGCGGAGTCGTGGGTGTTCACTGTTGAAGAGTTCTATACTAGGACGAAACGGCCTTCAAGTAAAACTACTGTTTAATCAAAATACATATCATACATGTTTAGATCTATCTTATCATTTGTATAAAATTTACAGGCTTGCAATATTAATCCCATTTTTTAATGCTTTTTGTTATCAATAAATTCAAATCATCTTGTAAATTAACCATGGTAGTTTACAGTCTACCGGTTATAAAGACAATATGATATACGAATTATTTTATTTGAACACATAAACGTTGGTACAAGGGGGCACCAAACACATAATAACAATGAGGCCAGTAGTAGTTATCATTGATTTGTGTGAGGGTTGTGATACTGCCCCGGGTACCTAAACCGAGACAGGTGGTTTTCTTAGAGGGCCACACCCGAAGTCTTAGACCTAAGGATCTGATTCACAAGGCAGTGGAGCAACGTCAAGGGGTGCTGTCTCATGGTAGCCGGTGACCAATAATTGGTCCATACTCCATTTATTCCTTCAAGATCCTGGAGCCCATGTGCACCATTGGTTTGGAATCAGGGTTTTCCAACTCCTCTAGGTGGACCTTCCATATCCACTAACCTAGTTAAAGCACCAACATCAAATAATATGGGTTTCTACAATAATTAGTTCATTAATCATTAATATTTTATACGTTGTCATATCATTTATGCGATTTGCTATGACTGTTATTATTATTTTTTGTTATTTAATAAGATTTTATTAATGGCTACGAAACAGATAAAGCACATCCTTTCATTGAAGAATGTATCCTGAGAGGTGCACCTATTGAAGAGGTACATAGATAATCTAACAAATTTGTTTATTTCTATTTAATAATGTTTTCTCATAGTCACTAAACTATATAGTAGTATTATTGACATCACGAATAGATCTATGTTAGACATTTATTGAAAACCAGGAATTGCTGGATTTAGGTCAGTCTTGTGATATCAATGACATACAACAATCTCAAAAAGCCTCTACATGATAATTATCATGTTCACACTATTGACTAGCTTCGAGAAGAAATTTTCGAAATTCTAGTGACAAACTGTGACTAATGAAGTTCAAAGGTATTGAGTGTAAGTCAGTTGCTCAACGAAGACAATGTGAAATGACCGAACAATGTCGTGAATTGACTGAAGATCCTGGGCTCAGTCTTCAATGGGCTTGAGGATACTACTGCAGGGGAGTCCCGTACTTAGAAGAAACAGCTGCTCAGTACTTACTGGTTTCCAGTGGGTGTTCAGCTTAGTTTGGCCCGTGACCTCAATAACATTCAATGGTCTCCACATATCCCATATAGTGACATACGTTTTTGTTGCCCAACTTTTCTCATTACCTTTATTTTTTTCATTTGTAATCAGTACTAGTTGGTTAAGCTTACAAAACGCTACCCTAGCTCTTCCTTTCATCCAAACCCTGAAGGAAATCCATTGGCCATCACTTTAGAGTTTCCTGTCATGAGCATAAACTTTGCCTTTGAAATCTGGACATTGGCTACTTTGATGGCTATTCATCTGACCTCATTTAACTGGTGTAGTGTACTCCAGGTATTTTCAGACTTGGCATCGAATTATTGTGTTCTCGAATTTGTACTAACAGCAGCACGTTCAGAAGCTAAACAAGTATTTCTGAATCAGATTTTAGCAGACACTAAGTTATACTATCCAATTGAATAGCATTGGTAAGAACTCCAAAGGATTTTTTAAAAAAAGTTTTTTTTTTTTTTTTTTTTTTTTAAAATTTTTAAAAAAATAATTTTTTTATCCGAGCTTGAAACTCCCACTTTTAAACATTCTTATATTCAGTACGTTTTTTTTAAAAAACATCCTGGTTAAATAACTCTTGCAAAACTAGTTTAGCGTTTCAAAATAAATCAGTTTTTTGTTTAATTCACAAGACAGTAAAGGAACGTTAGGAGATGCAGTCCTATGGTAGACAGTGAACAACAATAAGTTCATACGACTATTTATACCATTGGTTTGGAATCAAGCTTTTAAAACTCCCTTAGGTGGACTCTCGCTGTCCATTAACCCACTTAAAGTCCCGGTTATTCGCTTTCCATCCTCTCAGTTTCGTAAACAACACCCTTGTTGACAAAAGGCAATGAGTAGTAATTCCTTGACAGTGGCTGTATATGTGTGGCCATGTAAGAAGATTTCGAGAAGTTGAGTCAACTCTTCTCACTCTCGGCCGTACCAAGTCATCTGTGGGACCAATTCCTCTATTAGTATTTTGATAATCAGGGATCGTTAAGTTGAACATTATCAATGGGAACTTTAGTTTTTATTCGATATGATTGTTTACAGTTAAGTAGTTATTCTAAGTTCATATGTGTAATCACTACAATGTTGTTGTTGTTTTGTTTTTTAACTTTAAACAATTTTGAAGTTGTTATTGTTGTCATATTAAATCTAGTGTTATTTTGATTAGTCCATCATAGTAATGTGTACTTATTTACTTACTAATCTCTTGTTTATCTATTGGAGATTTCTTTCATTTTCTATCGTTTTCCTTCATCTATCTTAAGGTTCTTCGTCTTATTTGCATTCAATCATTTTGTAATGGAGGTTTAAAGCAACGACTTTTAGACTATTATAAAAATGAAATAATACAAGTGAGTTTAGATGTGTATACATATATATGTATGATTCATTCATTCAACTGAATATTAAGGCTATCCAGATCTTAAGGGTTATTTTAATTATCAGTATGGGTTTGTGAAGATGGTTAAGTTTTTGATTAAGTTTATGAATCGATTGATATTATACTACCATTAAAAACCTGTAAGTAGTGAATGGTCATTTCATCCTAGTATGCGCACTGCTGAAGAGTTCCATACTAAGACAAGACGACCCGTTCAGTGCTTTCACGTTATTTTAATTGACACTTAATTTATGTGTGAATATTTATCAAACATGTGTCGGAAGATCCGAAAATAATGTTTAGCTTAATAAGCAAAGTGGATAACGCGATGGCATTTGAAGCGAATAGTACGGGGTTTGAATCCCAGAGTGAACATCAACTGTGGAATACAGGTACATCCAGCTGACCAGTCCCAAGTAGGATGAAACGCGCGTCCTGGATTCCACTGTTAGCCACTATCCATTTTTGCTTAAAAAGTTTGTAACTTAAGACAATATAGAGGCGATCCGCACAGGATACACAAGTGCCAATAAGTGACTGATCAATTGCAGTCCTAAACAATAATAGAAAAGGTACAAACAAGAAACACCAAGTGAATCTAAATGTTTAGCTTATTTAATAAACAGTATATAGCCGGACATAGTGATAACCTTTAACTTATTAGAGGACATCATAGATCAGATGAAATAGAAAATGTGTATAAATTCACATTCTCACATTACTCGCATGTTGAATGAAAAGCTGTTTGTGTAATAGTCGCATACAAATGGTTTCCTAATTAACAGTTGAAAAAAGGATCCCAAAATCATTCCAATCACTTCAATTTCTTTAGACAGTAATGATACTGTATTAAGTCTCTAATAAACTGGTAGACTTTACTCAGTTCTTTTTTTGTTAGCATAATCTTGACATTCAAATAAACTCATGTTTTCTATTATTTTACGATGAAGCATTTTAATAAAATAGTCTTATTTTGTTCCATGAGGAAATCTTCACTCTTTCAGTATAAATTTTTTTAGATAGTAAGGAGTCTCATATATTTTATTACCTCATACTCGATAATGCTAAGAAATCTATCATTGTGTGCCTTAGTAGTTGAAAGGTAATAATGTTTCCCATAAAACATCTGTGTCTATTGATATAGAAAGTAGCACAGCGTGATTAGAGCACAGAAATCTATATGAGAGGTGCTTTACTCGGGTTGATGGATGTAGATAATCCACCTAGAGGAGTTGGAAAACCCTGATCCCAAACCAATAGGCTTCAGGATCCTGAGGAAACAAATGGCGTATTAACCAATTATTAGTCACCGGCTACCATGAGACGCCATCTCCTGACGTTGCTCCACTGCCTTGTGGATCAGACCTTTTGGTCAAAGGTTGGTGGAGTGACCCCCTAAGGAAACCACCTGCTTCGATTTAGGCACCCAGGCAGTATCACAGCCCACACACAAACCAAATGACTTGTGTGATGCATATGTATTCGGTGACCCTTTGTACCAATATTTGTGTGTTAAAATAATAGATAATGAGTAAATTGCACTTAAACCATAGATATATAAGTTTTTGTATGGCTGCCCATCGTGATGAACAGTAGTCAAGTAAAATCATGTAACCAACTAACAATTGAATAATCATACATACTTGGATCATGTTTTTTGAATTTTTTCCTACTTTTTAAGGTCTACGGTTTTGAGCATATTTTCACACTGGATAATTTGGAGCGTGTAGGTTTGCTTTATGAATCTCCTAATAGTCTAATGAGTAGTATACAAACATCAAGTTTCACACCCCAAGAAAAAATCAATTCAAGAAATAGTAGTCTGTCATCGTCAAAGTTGTCAGCGAACCTAAAACAAACAATTATTAACATAAGTACTAGTTATAATTCAGTACTAAAAGGAAACCTACGCCTTGTTTTTCCGCCTAATTCCAATTCAGTGAATGACTCTGAGCAAGCGGCATCTAGTTTGTTTTCCGGTTATATCCCTATATCTATTCGTCTTATTCAAATATGGACAAACGATTGGTATCCTAAACCTAATCTATCATTAACAAGTAGAGGTATAACAGATCAAACTACGTTCACCGGTGGCGGTTCGGGGGCTTTTTTACTGTCTAAAGCTACACGTATAGTTTCAGGCCTTAGATCTTCAGAGAGTTTGGAAATGTCTGAGTTACCAGAGTCTAATGAGCGCAATGTACCTGAATTAAACAGTCGTGCAACATTAACACCGACGGCAGAGAAAACTGGTGGTTTTCTTCCGAACAATTCGTTGACTGCAACTTCTAATCGTACAACATCTTCACTGACTAACTTATTATGTGCTCCAGAATTTAAAGTACAACTACCAGTTAGAGATGATTTACCTTTCACGTCCAAAAGCGGTTGTTTAAATACGAAAAATCATCCAAATAAACCGCGTATTGTAGTCGTTGGTTTTGTTGGCGGTGTGAGTCATGCAGAAATATCAACTTTAAGAACGATAGCTGCTAGTGAAGATGGTAAGTTACTATCGGTTCAATATTAATGTGATCGTTTTTTATTTTCGTGTGTTTCAATTTAAGTGGAATATTTTCAAGTGATCTAGTTTGCTGGTACCTCGAATTATAATATTGTAGTTGAGCGGATTGAAACAGAATAATATCCTGTTTGTTTTCATTTTGGCAATATGGAATCCCCATAGCTAATAACTTTTGGAACTGGCATTATTTAAGGTATGGATGATGACTTGAGCAACTTATCTGTTGATGTGATATTTTTTCGTAGCTACCTCTATGATGCAGCTTCAAAGCATGCTATTAAGTGACTCGTCAAATCTGGCAAACCGATACAGAAAATGATCTGCAAAGTCAATCCTCTTATTGCAGAAATATTTGAAATGCATAACAAACCTCAATTCGTGAGAGATGTCTGTGGTATTCACCAAATTTGTGTGAAATCAGACGAAGGTACCTTCTTAAATGATTGTATAAATGTATTTACAGCAACATACGATAAACTGTATGACAATTTATAGCTTTGTGTCAATTGGTGGGAGACTATCGAAAGAACAGAACAAAATGTAGAACTTATCATAAATATTAAGTTTGTGTAAATGCTTAGAAATATCACAACCATAGATAGCCATAACATACTGATTCTCTCCAAGTTATTAGAATTGAAACTAGTTACTGAATATTAGTCAGTAACATGATCATAAAAAAGGGGATCGGAAAAGAGTACGATACAGATAAAAAAAACTCACTGTATACATTTCATTTATCTCAAATCCCCGTCTTCATAATCAACCTCCCTCTTCAATTCCTATTATTCTTCCTAAACTCCCTTTTTCGGCTTCCTTCTCAAGTGTCACCATAGTCAACGATCCTAGTGCGCAAAACACTGTCCCAGGTCTATTGAAACCTTGCTCCAGACTACACATTGGAGCCTTCAACGTACGCACACTATGACCACATGTTGCGTATACATGGACACCGATTACCACGACCGGTGTTGGAGATGGTTAGGGGTAACCAAATCAAAACGTGACATCAGTGCTTGAAGGCACTAACTTCCGGTCTTAGCCATGTTGGTAGATGCAGAATACTTGGTTGGGGTCCTCGAGACTATTGTAACCAATGGTTAGAGAATCTGTGTGACATGGCCCAGAATCGATCACAATGGCGTACTTAGGTGTATACACTCTCTATCTTCCTTTAAACCGTGAGAATAAAATTGCTTTATACCATCCTTTCTATGAACTAATTCTTTCTTCGTGTATCATTTACTTATATGCAATCTTTCTTTCATATATTACTACTAGTGAAGCAACTACTTCTATGCATTTGGTATTCATTTTGCTCTGCTAATGAGGTGTGTCAACTTGGACTGATGCATATATGTGCCTGGTCCTACGTTGTGACTGACTGACTATTCGTCAACAAAAAAAGAAACTGTGTTAACAATATTTTTTTTATTTTAAAAGTTAAAACACTTACAAATAGATGACCTTTATCAATGTGCCACAGTTGGACTAGATAATTTCAAATAAATTGAGCATTTGGTATGTTAGGTTGTGGTGTATGCTACTTATGTTGACAGATATAAGTAATATGTAGCACTAATGGGAATTCGAATGCTTACCAGCAAGAAATGAAGAAGATTGAACTGAAGAGAACAAGAAGGAAAACAGAGAGAAATTGTAATAACAACAGAATTTTGAAAGAATCATGAAGAATGTGAAGGACGATCGATGGAATAGTGCAAATGACATATTTAATGTATAGTTTTCATATTTTATGAAAACACTGTTCTTTTTCATCAGTAAAAACTATTGAATATCCTATAGTTCAATTCATGAGTCAATTGAAGCTAGATCAACATGAAAAACCTGGAAGCACGAAACGGCCGTTTCGTCCCAGTATGGGAATCCTCAGCAGTGCACATCCACAATCTCGTCTATCGAGATTCAAATCCATGACCTATCGGTCTCGCGCGAACTCTTAGCTTCTAAAGCACTGACCTGGCCGGCATCCAACAGTGTTAATGTCTAACTTCGACAAAGTCACGAAATTTCATGACCATCTTCCATTGTACTGGCATCGATTAACTCTACTAATTACGACTTCTCATTAAGAGTCCCACAATAGGACGAAACAGCCATCTAGTGCTTCCAGGTTTTTCATGGCGGTGTAACTTCAATTAACTCATGAACTCAACTATAAAATTACTAAAATCTCCACAAAACCCCCCTTTTGATATTGAATATGCATAGAAACTTATTTTATCATCGAAATAATTGTATCTCTTTTGTTTCTGTTTCAGTCATTCATTCATTCTTCTCCTTTTTTTTCTTTCTTTTTCCAGCAAATGTTGAATTTGTTATTATTACAACAGGATTTATAACAGCACAATCGTTTATTGGTTCTCTTTGTCAACCGGTTAAATCAACTAATCTGATTCCATTTTGATTCCCCGCCCCCTTTTTTTCTTCTTTAGATCTTGTTTTAACGGATTATCTAAAGAAATGTTTTCTCCTTGTTTTCTTTCTTTATTTTTACATGATCATTTACTTCAATCAAACATTCTAATTATATGATCTCTCTTTTTTTTCTAAAAAAAGACTAATTTCTTATTTAGATTTACAATAACTAAAATAGCAGTCGTCGTAGTCCTAGTTGTAGAAGTGGTAATGGTCGCGGTAGTCCCAGTAGTAGTCATCGTAGTCCTAGTAGTGGTCGTGGTAGTAGTTAGTAATAGTAGAACTAGTCGTCATAATCCTAGTAGAACTAGTCGTCTTAGTAGTAGTCATAGTAGCGGAAATTGAATTAGAACAAAGTAAATTCTTAATTTTATCATAACAATTGAGAACTAGATGATCAAAGGATTGATTTACAGCTTCAGTTATTTGGTGATAAATGAAGTAAGAAAAGAACACGTTAATATTTTGTTCAATGAAGGATATTGATAGTTTCAAATAAGTTGAGCATTGAGTGGGAAGTTGTATGTCTGAAATTTCGTGACTTAATGTAAGACACTTCTTCAAAGTTCCATTGTTCGTTTGCTCTGAAGAAGTGACTTATACTCAGTCAGAAATACAACTTCTCTACTCATTGGGATATAACAAAAACTATATTGATTATTATATTATCTATTATTTACACACAACCTGTGTTACATCTGAAGGAAGAATAAATGAATAGCAACTGCTAGGAATTATTTATGGGCTTTCATTACATATATTCCTACTGGATAATTATTAATTAAATTATATATGTATATAGATACCCAGTCTATTAGTTACAGTCTTTCACAGACACTAGTGGCTTGATCTTGTATAATTATTATTTTTCATTTTTATGGTGTGATGCAGTTTGGTCTGTTTGAAAAGAAATCACATATCTGAAATATACTATTCACACAGCGAAGGCTGATATTTCTATTCTGAACTGAAGGGACTGGGGCTAGGCGAGAGGCTACTATAAAGAGAGCTGCTAAGGATACGGAGTCGACTCAAAACTGCTAGTTCTGGTTGACATGTCATTGATTTAGCATAGAGAAAAGGTTAATTGATAGGAGCAAAAATCATAACAATATGAGTATTTTGGTGTTGTTGAAATTAATGGATAAAGCATGTGCTATGTCAAGAAATTAAAGTGTCAACTGTGTGTTCGGTAATTTGTTTGACTTATATTCACAGTTTCCAGAGATCACAGCTATTCTTAGAAATTATGCACACTTTTCTCGATAACAAAATAGCTGATCGTGAACCATTGATTCCAGTGAAACTTTGTGTATTACTATAGCGTATCATAACGGTCTCGACAATCAATGAAGGAAATATGAACTACCAATCTAATAAACCAGTAACAAATGGTTATCCTCCTCAACATCTAAGTGAAGACATTTAGATTGATTAGTAACTGTCTCTCAACTAAATAGCTCAATATGTTCCAGCTTAGAAAAGACAACACTCTGATCATAAGCAAGCCGGACAAAGGCTGAGGGCTAGCTCTAATGAACAAAGCCGATGACATTGATAAAATGAACTTGATTTTGAATGACCCGACGAAATTTCAAAAACTCAACAACGTGAAGGACAAATATGAAAGCAGAGAAATTGCTGACTATGTTATAGTAGATTTACGATAACAAGTCTTGAATTTTGGCGCGAAATTAATGAATTCATTTAACTAAATAGTTTTGGTATCATAGCCGATGTCATTTCGTTATGAAAATCATAAATCCAATTCCTAACTCAAACCATCAACTGTAAATCATAATTCTAATTCCTCACAATGGTTTATAACCCTCATTTAGCCGTAGTATGTAGGTGGACATTCTCAAGATCTCTTTAGCATCACTTAAAGGTAGTCCATAAATTATAGTCTCACCCATCACAGTAATAAAGTTTGGAAACATTATATGCCTTACCAGTGAAACATTCATCAGATACGATTGATTCAGAATAAATAACATTTGTATTCTGTTAGAAGTTAAATATGTTGACATATTTTTGAAATTCATATTCTGTTGAGGAAGTTTGATTCCCAGAACTCACTTGGAAAAGGTCCTAGTTATGTAATTTTATTCAGGAATTTTGAATTCAATGTTTTCGCGCCAAGAGATGCTTAATTGACCTATAGCTTACGTTTCTCACTCAGAAATCCTTGACTGTCATTCGTTGACGGGTTTCTTAGTACACTATTTTGTGGCTCTCCCATGGGCGTTTGTATCATTGTATAAATAAGCTTAATTTGTGTGCATAGTGATGTCGTATTTTCTGGGTGCTTGTAGAATACATTCTCTACGTCTCATCAAAACTTCTTGATCTAATTAGCAGAGCCGGGGGCAACGGATTAGAATAGCCTATCGTGTCACTGTATCTTTGAAATTCATTCCGTTTACCGAGTAAGGTAAATTCGTAATAGCATTCAAGCATATCATATTCTAAGATCAAAATATCTACGTCATTGAATGCAAAAACATGTAAAGTTTTACATTCTTCTCTTGAGTGTACTCCATGACCGCATCTACCATATGGACATGACTAGATATAAGGCTTTGTGATTTTGTTTGTCTTAAGTGATTTTAATTCTGATAAGTTTCCTGACAATACTCGGACTAAATTAGCGGGTAGAACTTTGGAATTATTTTATGTCAACCACTGTGAATTTTGGGAATATAATTTCATTTTGAATGTATTCTATCAACTTGTAGTCAACTATAACGTTGTTAATCCAAATTTAATGGTTGAAGTAATGAGTTGATCTAAGCTAGAACATGGAAGTACTGGACGGTCTTTTCGTCCTAGTACGAGACTCCTCAGAATTGCGCATCCACGGTCCTCCACACGGGATACGAACCTAGGATCTTTGAACGTTTAACCTCTAGACAACTGAGCCGGCATCCATCAGTGTTAATGTCTAACTTTGTGGACTAGTTGAAGTTAGACATTAACACCATTGGATATCTGCCAGTTCAATGTTATAAAACTTAAGTTTTCCAGCGTGAGACCGAAGGTACTGGTTTCGAGTCCCACATGCGGGATCATGGATACTCACTACTGAGGAGTTCTGTACTAGGACGAAACCGCCATCTAGTACTTCCAGGTTTCAACAGTGTTACTGACACTTATCTATTCATGATATCAATCTTAACCTAACGAATTCCACAAGCCTACACTGAAATAAAACATCATTTTCATAATAGTCATCCGTATTAACCAGTCATTATAAGCAGTGATGAATGTTGGCTACCAGTGGAATCTAGAACATATGTCTAGTCAATAAGAAGATTCAAACAACCAATACAAAAAATGATGAAGTCATTCTCATCATTATAAGAATGACAAATACCGTGGTACGGTCGAAAGTGGGGAGAGTCAGCTCTCCCTCTCCAAATCCTCTCACATGGCCACGTGCATACAGCCACTTTCAGGGAAGTCCTACTCACTACCCTATCATTGCGAGGGTGTTGTTTAAGAAATTGATAGAAGCTTTAACTGGGTTTGTGAACACGGAGAGTTCACCTAGGGGAGTTGGAAAACCCTGATTCCAAACCAATGGTGTACATGGGTTGGCTCCAGGATCCTGGGAGAACGAATGGCGTATGAAACAATTAGTAGTCACTGGCTACTATGGGACTACATCTCCTTACGTCGCTCCACCACATTTTGGATTAGACTTTTAGGTCGAAGGCTCCGTATGTAGCCCCACAAATTGAATGATTTATGTTGTGCATATCTATTTGGTGCCTCCTTATATCAGTATTTATGTGTTGAAATAAATTAATAAAATAAAATCAACAAACATTACCACTTGCAATAAACCAATGAAATTTTATATTTGATTATAGACAACTCTTGTTGCCAATAGAGTATTCATGTTCATGTAAACAATGAATAAAACAAAACAAAAAAAGAGAAAAACAATTCATATCGTGATCAGAAAACATGATGAGAAATATATAGTATATGAATTAGACTGAATAATTCCTTGGTTACTATAAGTGTTTTCAATAAAAATGTTGATGGGGGTGGGTGTGAAGGTGGAGGTGGGGTTTGATTCCTTTATTTATTTGTTTTTTTTCTTTTTCTTTTAAATTTTATTTTAATTTTCTATCATTATGATTTAGTAATTTACTATTTGATTGTATATAAAAACTTCGTTTACGATTACGACTAGATCTTATAGTGCATGCACCTTTCCAACACTAGAAATAAAAAGAAAAGAAAAAAAAATTTAATGGAAGAATTACTGATCTAGAAGGATCTAGAAGAAGATCGTTATATTCCACAATTTCAATCTTCAAATGATCATATCATTATCTTAGTTCTAAAAGATCTAGAAAAAGATCGTTATATTCCACAATTTCAATCTTCAAATAATCATATCATTATCTTGGTTCAAATAAATTTGCAGGATAAATAAACTTCTAGACCACTCAGCCAGTATCCAGTTCTGTTAATGCCTAACTTCAATCAATTCACAACATTTCAAGACTATCTTATATTGTCTTTGGAGTGTAAATGCAATACACTAAACACAGATTAACTTCACTGGTCACGTCTTCCGACTAGAACATTGTTAATTTCTTCTCGACTGTAGTCACATTTGAGTACATGGTAATTGACAATATAGGGATTGTGGAGATTTCAATGATGATCTAACTTAGTTCTGTTACTGATCTCGATGAAATTCAACAATCTTCATAATCCCATACTGAAAATAATACTATTTAAGAATATATATATAACCATAATCATTAGTAGTCTTTTTTTATGCCTGTTACTCCTAATGAAGAATAGGCTGCCGACCAGCATTCCCCAACCCATTCTGTCCTGGGCCTTCTTTTCTAGTTCCATCCACTTCTTGTTCATTTCTCTCATGTCTATCTCCATTTCCCGGCGTAATGTGTTCTTTGGTCTTCCTCTTTTCCTTTGGCCTTGAGGATTCCTCCTAGAATCCTTCCGAAGGCTACTGCCTGTCCCAAGCCCGGATAAAGGAGAAGGGTTGGACATGGGGTTAGCGATCCCATCCCGTAGAAAACTAACTCGCTAAAAAAACGCTAACCAGAAAAAAATTATTCAAACCTTCTAAACTCTGCCCTGGGAGTCAGAAGGTCTTCATTTAGAAGAGTTATGACACCGCATGATGAAAGCCGAGTTCCATTAGTAGTCTACTAGACTACAATTTATAGACGAACCAATTAGATTTAGAATAATAAGTCTTGGATATTGGCGCGAAATTCATTCATCCATTTGATTAAAGAAGATTTTGGGGTTTTAAGTGATATTAGTTTGTAATGAAAACCCTAAATCTAATTCCTAACTGTAATCATCAATTGTAAATCATAATTCTTATACTTCAAACTGTTTTATAATCCACATTTAACTCTAGTTAATTGGTGATTATTCTTAAGGCCGCTTTAACATAAGTCAAAGGTCCTTCATAAATGATAGTCTTACCATATGTTAAGCACAATCATGATTTACAGAAAGATAGAATGATACTTGCTAATATTGTGGTGTTTAAATCATATTCATTCGAATCTATGTTCACATTTATGGATTATTTGAGATCAAATTTATGTTATCAGTATGGGGACTTGTAGAGATTGTACTATTTTCACAGCTGTATTCACGAGTCTATCTAAACTAGACCACCAATAAAAACTCGGATGTACTGAACGGCCGTTTCGTTGAAGTCAATACCAGTGGATGCCAATCAGCTTAGTGGTCTAGAGGTTAAGCTTTCGCATACAAAGTCGAAGGTCTTAGGTTTGTATCTCATGTGGAGGGTCGTGGATGAACACTTCCTGGAGAGTTCCGTACTATGACGAAACGACCTTCTACTGGTTTTAGTTTATTCATGATGGTCTAACTTAGTTTGACTCATCAATTCAACTATATAAATAAGATGTTATCTCGATGTTTCATAATATTTCGATAACATTTTTTATCCTTTATAAGTAAGATAATTTTTATTGATTTTATGTTTGTATATTTTTATATTACGAACCCAACTTAGTCTAAATCAATCAATCAATCAATCAATCAATCGACAACAGCAACAACAACAATTGATTTCATCCCCAAAAATCGAATTCCACTTGAAGCTCATCTGAATCTACTGCCGGTTCTAAGCTTAGATAAATGAGAAGGGTTGGGTATGAAGTTAGCAACCCTATTCCGTAGAACTTCTTTAACCGACTAAAAATCACAAATAACATACATAGTCAATTGATCTATGATCATTCTATGAATATTATTTGTTTATTTAATTGAACACATAGATATTGGGTATAAGGAGGCACCGCATACATATGCACCACACAAATCTCATTTGATATGTATGAGGGCTATGATACTGCCCTGAGTGTCCAAACCGAAACAAGTACCAACTTGTACCAATTCAGAAAGGAACTGACATTCAAAACACATTGATTTAACTTACCGCCAATTTTCTTGTATAACGTCTTACACGTGATAGAAATACAGTATTCTTTGTAATATGCAATGTTTGTCTTGATTTAAATGAATGAGTTAACATTAAATATTTTTTACCAATTATAATTTCATCTATACAAATACATTGTAATGGCCATGAATAAGTTAAGATCATTTTTTCATCATATGGATGTATATCTGAATCAAATGTTTTTAATATATGAAAACGAAATAATGGTTGATAATGATCATTTTTACCAAACCACCATAATGTACCAGATATACGTATTATAGCAGCTAAAATTAATGAATATACAAAGATAGAAATAGAATAAGTTATGTTATTAAGAATGAAATATAAATTGTAATAGTTGAAGTTAAATCATCATGGAAAACCTGGAAGTATTGAATGGTTGTTTTGTCCTATTATGAGACTCCTCCTTGGTAGTGTGCGTATCCAAAATCCCGCCTCGCGGGATTCGGACCCAGACCCTATCGGTCTCGCGTGCAAATGCTTAACCTCTAAACTACTGAGCTGACTGGAACCCAACGGTGTTAATGTTTAACCTAAACCAATCCGTGAAACTGAGCGACCATCTTTCATTGTACTGTGGTAGATACCTGTCTCTACCCAACATGAATTAGCAGCACTGGTCACGGCTTCTCGTTAGAACTCCAAAAATTCCCTCACGAATCTAGTCACTAGTGAACACACGGTAATTATCAGTATAGGGTTGTGAAGATGCGCACTGATAAGGAGTCCTACAATAGGACGAATCCGAGCGTCCAGTGATTTCAGGTTTTCAATGGTAGTCTAACATCGATCAGTTCATGATCTCAATCAATAAATTTTAATAGTTGAATTCATGAGTCGAATGAAGTTAGATCACCATGGAAGACCTCGAAGTACTGGATGGCCTTTTTGTCCTATTGTGAGACTCCTCATTAGTGCGTATTCAAAATCCCGCCTCGCGAGATTCGGAAACAGGACCTATCGGTCTCGTGTGCAAATGCTTAACCTCTGGACCACTGAGATGGCTGGCATCCAATAGTGTTAATTTTCAACTTCAACTAATCCACGAAATCAAGCGCACGAGACTGATAGGTCCTGGGATCGAATAACGCTAAGTGGAATCGTGGATGAGCACTGACAAGGAGGAGTTCCATACTAGGATGAAACGGCCATCCGGTGCCACCAGGTTTTCCATGTTGGTCTAGCTTCAACTGACTCATGAATTCAACTATTAAAATTACTATACTATCTAGAAAACCCCTCTCTGAATGAAATATAAATTGAAAATGATAAAAAAGTTGTTCTATACAACCATTTAAACTGATAAATGTGACTTTCATTCAGTGTTTTTTTCTAAAAAAAGAAACAGTCTCTTAAGAAAGTTTCTCATACTTCACTTCTATAAATATTCTCATTGAACGATAGATTCGGTTTCCTAAGCACTTCTGGTAACCTCCAGGTTAAATGTACACAGCAACTTGAACACGAGAGAAAATTCTCGAAATATAATAAAAAAAACACTTTAGTCGAAAGGTTCGTATTTATATCATTTTAGATGGTTCTGGGCTTTCGGAAGCTTCTGGAACGTTAGTAGCAGTATAGGCAATCATCCAATCTGAGATACGACATGTGACTTTTCATTCATTCATTTGGGTAAATGGAGTTTTGACATCATAGCTAGATGTCAGTCCGTGGTGACCCCCCCCAAATCGAATTTCTAAGCTTAATCATCGACTGTAAATTATAATTCTCTCTCCTTACACAGGTTTATAACCCTCCTTTAGTCCCAGTTATTAGGTGGATAGGCGAGACTCTAATTTAGGGACGACCTTTTTACGAATCTTAAGTGACCTTGACAATTATTAGCCAATCAGAAGACAGTTAGTATATAGTGAGGATATATTGTAAGTAAGTAATGAATTACAGTGAATATTCTTCTTTTAAATGATTTAAAAACTTGTTAAGGTTTGATAAAGGTTCAGAGGTTCTGAATTCATAACGCATATGGTATAGAAACTCGTCCATAGGGTTAGGGTTGGGTTAGGGTTTAGGGTTAGGTTAGGGTTTAGGGTTAAGGTTAGGGTTAGTGTGCTAAGAGTTAGGGTAGGGTTAGGTTAGGGTTTAGGGTTAGGGTTAAGTTTAGGGTTAGGGTGCTAACATGAGATCGGTTTACAACGGATGTTAGAGGTTAGGGTTAGGGTTGTAGCCTGTCAATAAACACCACTTCTCTGAAACCCGATGTAGACCGATCTCATGTTAGCAGCCTGGCCCTAACCCTAAGCCCTAACCTTAACCCTAAACCCTAACCCTATGCACGAGTTTCTATACCGTATGCATTATGAATTCAGAACTTCTGAGCTTTTATCAAATCTTAACAAGTTTTTTAATCATGTAAAAGAAGAATATCCACTGTAATCCATTACTTTCCTGTAATATATTTTTACTTTATACTGTCTTCTGATAGGCTTATAATTGAAATTGCTCAAACGCTTCTTACTGGCTCGTCCCTTAATTAGAGTCTCGCCGTCCCATATGTTGTAACCTCTCATTAATCACCTCCTCTCTAAAATCCGCTGTGAACCGATCGTATGTTAGCATCTCGTGTTGAACTTGGCTCCGTGACCTTGAAATTGTTCAAACGCTTCTGATTGGCTCGTCTCTTAATTAGAGTCTCGCCGGTGGATACTCTCTAGGTCACTTTGGTGTTGCTCAAAGGTCATCCATAAATTATAGTCTCACCACAAGAACATATCTCAAAAAGTTTTATGAAGGTTATGAAGATTAAAGGATTTTAACAATGCTATTGCAAAACACCTCTGTGACACAGGGCATGAAGTAAATAGATTGAAATATTTCAGCACCTTCATACAACAGTCACACTCCGTTCTTCTCAAATTCACCCAAGCTATAGATATTAATCGACTATTGTAATGTTACCTTTGAAGGACGTCTTAATGACCTTCAGAATATCCACCTTCTTACTAGAGCTAAATAAGGGTTATAAACCAATGTGAAGAATTCGAATTAGAAGTTACAATTGATGATTAGGGTTGAGAATTGAATTTATTATTTTTTCGTTACGAACTGATATCTAGTTATAATGCCAAAACTGTATTTACCCAAATGGATAAATGAATTCAGCGCCAAAATCCAAGACCTGTTATTTTATAAGTGATTGATTCGTTCATAAATTATAGTCTCACCGTTCTTGGAATCGAACCTAGGTCTTTCTTTTTTTCTCTATTAATGTAACTACTTTAAGAGGTACATGTAAATTTGTATACTCAGTTGGGAGTAACATGAAAGGGTTACTTATAGACCTTTAACTGGAGTGAAGAATTTTACAAAATAAAATGAATATACGTCATCCTTATCAATTCGTTGTTCTTACCCTCTTCAAGAATCTATGAGGTCACTGTACTACCTGTAAACTAATTTTTTTGAGAAAATAAAAGAGATAGATAGATCTTAGTAAGTGTGAGATCTGTAGAGGCATCACATTACTATCATTACCGCTAAAGGTTTTCAAACACACTCAGTAGACACCTAACTTGGAGACTGATGGGCTGAATTTCGTAAGGACTGACTATCTACCAACCAAATACCAACACTAGCGATCATTACTTACCGGTTGAGTAGATAGAATTCATCACTATACATCAAATTTATTAGCTACGAGAAATCATTTAACAGTGAGGATAAAAAAACCTTATAAAACATTCTTTGACACTATGATCTATGTCAGAAGGTGGTTGCCATCATATGAAATCCTCACGACAGACATCATTGCAAAGTCATGCATGCAGAGCACTTCACAAATCCATCCCCAGTGAAGATCAGTGTCAGATAAAGCTACTGACTCCCAACTTTTTTCTACGGCCTGATAGCTGACTGGATTCTGAAAACCTCCATATCTCAGGGGAAGCACAGAATACAATGGATATATTGGATACAAACCAGACGACTTTAATCTCGTAAACGATCTTACCCTTTTATCCCCACACACAGAAATAAGTTTCAAACATAGTTCATGAATAACAGAAAGTGTAATTCATAGTATAGGTATAATTGGAATCAATAATTATAAAGATGAATAGTTTAATTAAATATTAAACTTACACACAGTAAAATTAGATTTAATCCATTTACTTCTTGTATATAATGTAGGAAACATTTCATTACATATTTCAGGGATATCTTTTGGACAGCCAAGATTTACTTTAAATTAAGAAAAAGAATAATAATGATGAGATAGAATGTTCAAGATAACATATCGATTAAATAGTTGAAATCATGAGTCAATTGAAGCTCGACAACCATGGAAAACCTGAATACACTGAACGACCATTTCGTCCTATTGTGCGACTCCTCGGCAATGCTCATCCATGATCCCGCCCCCCCCAACGAGATTTGAACCCAGGACCTATCAGTCTCGCGCGCCAGCACTTAACCGTTAGACCATCGATTAAAACCGAAAGTTTTCCAAAAAACAAAACATTCATACAAGAATCAATGCAATAAACTTTTAATGATTTAATTTGTGAATGGATTTCTTAAAATATTGATTGAATAACATTATAAGATCACGATCTGTGAATCGCATCACTGGAATTCTTGAATTTTGTAGTTAACTTATGCATTACAAGTATGTTTATTACTAATGGGTTGATTATTAGTATTGCCCTTAAATGCTCTAATGTGGCACATAGTGAGGAGAGTCAGCTCTCCTTCTCCAAGCGCTCTCATATGGCCACGTGCATACAATCACTGTCAGGGAAGTCCTACTCACTGCCTTCTCTTGACGGGGGTGTTGTTTATGCCCGGCGCTTTAACCGGGTCGGTGAACACGGAGAGTTCACCTAAGGAAGTTGGAAAACACTGATTCCAAACCAATGATGCACATGGGCTGGCTCCTGGATCCTGAGGGAACAAATGGGGTATCAACCTATTGTTGTTCACCGGCTACCATGGGATTGAATTTCTTGAAGTTGCTCTACTGTCTTGTAGATTAGACCTGTAGGTCAAAGGCTGGGAGAGTGATCCCCTAAGAAAACCATTTGTTTCAGTTTGAACATCTGAGTAGTATTCTAGCCGTCACACGAACTGAATAATTTATATGGTGCATACATAATCGGTGCCTCCGTGTACCATTGTTCTCACTTGAAATTATATTAATCTTAATCAAATGCAGAAAATACTTCAATCTGTCTCATAGTAATCAATCATTCTAATAATTCCATTTGTACTTCAAATACAGAGTGCTTAAGGTTAATACAGACAGGAAAATGGTTGTCTGAAGAAGTATCGACAATATCAATTGATGTATACAGTTGAATTGGATGTTATGGCTATATGACAGTATGAATGCACACTATTTTCAGACTTTCAATGCCTATCATTACTCACCATAGAAATATGAGTGCTTAAGATGATTTCTTATTGAATATGAAATGCTATTACATCTGTTCCTGATTCACAGGAAGAAGTAAATTACACTCATTTTGAGAAACATCTTGTTTTTTGTTAGATACAAATACGGTCATAAATGGTTGTGTAGTGGTAAATAAATTCCCAAAATCAATAGATCTGTAAGTCTTCGACATTTGATGCCGACCACATTAGTTTCAATGGACTCACCTAGCTGATGTTGCTCGGTCATGCATCCACATCAGGTCACGAGTGGGAACGCCATGCTCAACTTCCCCTGAAATCGCTAGCTAGTCTAGATCAGTTGATCCTCGATATATTGATAGCTTATCAAATATATCTTCGAACCTCCTTGCTTCTGACTTTTGGTTTCACTTGGTGGGTACGATTCATAGTAGAAGGTGTTACTGGTTAAAGCGTTGTCAAACTCCAAATACCTGTGGCATCTTCAGTTGATTTAAGTTAGACCACCATGGAAAACCTGGAAGTATTGGACGGCCGTTTTGTCCTAGTACAGAACTCCTTAAGAGTTCGCATCCATGATCCCACAACAAAAGGGACTCGAACGCATGGCTTTTGGTCTGGCGCGCGAACGCCTAAGCTCCAAACCATCGAACCGACAATCTATAGTGTTAATGTCTAACTTCAACCAATCCACGATATTGTGCGACAGTCCACCATTGTCTTTAGTGAGTAGCTGCCTCACAACAGACACGGTTTGACTCCACTGGTCACGTCTAATCAATAAAACTCCAGGACATACATCTTGAAGCCAATCACTAGTCACTGTCAAAATGAAGGTTTGTGAAAATTGTAATAATTTAATGGTTAAATTTATAAATTGATTTAAGCTAGACCAATCTGAATAACCTGGAAGTAATAGACGGCACACTGTTGATTAATTCCATACTAGGATGAAACGACCGTCCACTGTTCCCAGTTTATCCAATATTGGTCTAGTTTAAAACGACTCATGAATTCAACTATTGAATTGCTACAACTACCACAAATTTATAAATATGAAATGATTTTTTTAAATGCTTCACTTTGCTAAAACTACATCGTGTAATCTTATCATTTAGATTGTATTAGGTCAATGAAGATGGTAGTTTAATAATGGAGAATCTTATTTATCCAACTAAACAATAGTTACTATTAATGATAATCATCTCAATTGTACACATAAATCTAATACATGAAACTAGAAATAAACAAAACTGAACACAACACATGATGACCTATAATAAATAATAAAGAAACAAGTACTGATATACTTTCTCTAATGAAATAACCAAGTAATTTTATTGTTTTACAAAAGGTCATAAGTCTAATGAAAAAGGTCATATTGGTTAAGAAAAAAAAACAAAATGGTAGGTTAAAATGGTGTTTGGAGGTAGTCAACAGGTAACTCTGGATCTGGGTTTCGTGCTACTTGGTACTCGTCAGCAAGATGTAGGACTTGACACACATAAAATTGATCACTACTCGAATAGCACGAAACCCGAATCCAGGGTTTCCTGTTGACTACTTCCAACCACTATCTTATCTCAATATAGTGCACGTTATGTCGAGTCACCTAGACTAGTGGCCACATTACAAGTTGGTCGATAGCATTCGATCTACATAAAGAAGGACTTGACACACATGACATTGATCACCGCCCAGTGATCAATCAATTGTGACGGATGGTAAGTCAATGTATGACTTGCTTTTCTTTTGAAATAAATACAAGGTTTCATGAAGACATCATATCAAAGGAAAGTATACTATGAGCTGAATAATTAAACGATCCCATCTATCTAGTAGATCTAGACTATTTGGTTGAGGTTTATACGATAATTTTGATCTGTGGCTAAAAACGTTGAGTAGTTCAATATTGGTCATAGTAGCTAGGAGCGGCCAGAACAAAACATGGCACAAATCCATGAAGTTACTGACAAGTAAACTGAGCCGTGTTAGTATGTGTAAAGTACCTGGTAGAGATCCGCGAGATAAAAGCAACCGATGGTTAGAGACCTTGAATGTGACATGGCTCAAAATCGTTTGCAATGGTGCAGGTGCATCCACTCTTTGTGTTTGCCCAAATTCTAATCTTCTGAATTCTTCATGTCGCTTTGTTTTTCTCTTTCCAAATTTATTTCACTAGATTATATTCCTTGAATAACATCTTCAAGCCTTAATCTTTCCGATTACTGCTTATACTTTTGCTACTTCTACCACTGTGGGATTTGAATCGACAATTGTATCTGTGTGCTAATGTGGTATGGCAAGTTGAACCGATGTACGAACCTACATACGAAAATCTACGTTGTTGCTGACTGACTGACTGAAATGAAATGATTCCACATATCTCTTTATGATTCGAGTCTCACTATCACATCATATCATAAGTGGCCTTGAGAATGTCCACCTACTGACTAGGGCTAAATGGGGATTTTAAATCTGTGTAAAGGATGTGGATTGTGGTCTACAGTTGATGATTAGGGTTGAAAATTAGATTTGGGAAGTTTTCATCAGAGACTAACATCAATTAAAATCCCAAAACTGTCTTTAATGAATTGGATGAATGAATTTCGTGCCAAAACTCAAGACCTGTTTTTCTAAGCCTGATTAGTTCGTCCATAAATTACAGTTTGAACGTAATAACTTGTATATATGTCCAAGGTTCTGTACAGATTATCACTGACTAATATACCACAAAACTCAATAATATAACTTTATACTTCATTTTATTGATCAAGATTAACTGGAATACTTTCTATAAACAATGAGATCAATAGGTCGTTGGTTCGAATCCAGAGAAGCGGGATTGTGGATATGCACTGATAAGGAGTCTCACAATAGGACGAAACAGTCTGTCAATTCTTCCAGATTTTCACTGGTGGTCTAGCTTCAATTAACTCATGATCTTAACTATTAAAAAAGTAATTCAATATTCTCTACTTAATCCAATCTATTAATTTATTATTAACTATTATAAATAAAGCCATCATCCAAAAGATACAAGTGTTTATTAACAGTTGCCTACACAAAATACTTCGGATCCGTTGGCCAGACACTATTAGCAACAACCAACTGTGGGAGAGAACAAACCAGATCCCAGCGAAGGAAGAAATCAGGAAGAAGCGCTGGAAGTGGATAGGACACACATTGAGGAAAGCACCCAACTGCGTCACAAGACAAGCCTTCACGTGGAATTCTGAAGGCCAAAGGAAAAGAGGAAGACTAAATAACACATTACGCCGGGAAGTGGAGATAGACATGAGAAAAATGAACAAGGATTGGATGGAACTAGAAAAGAAGGCCGAAGACAGAGTGGGTTGAAGAACTCTAGTCGGCGGCCTATGCTCCATTGGGGGTGACAGGCAGTGAGTAAGTAAGTAAGTAAATAGGTAAGTAAGTAAGTAAGTAAGTAGGTAAGTAAGTAACTATTATAAATAAACAAAATAACTGAAATCGATTGTAAATAGTCTATTTGTAAATAGTCTGGTATTTCTTCAATAACTTTAAATAATGTAAATATCTAAAATGAAACAGTTAACCTTTATTAGAATTGTATTCGTTTAATATTAATTACATAATTCACTATTTTCTTATTTATTATTTAATGCCTACTACCGTGGGTTGTATGAATATTTGGGTTACTTGTTCCTATAATTTACATATTTCACCAAGTTATCTGTTTCATTGCTTGTTTGTTTTAACACATCACTGGACAGCTGTTTCGTCCTAGTACAGAACTCCCCAACAGTGCACATCCGTGATCCCGCTCGCGGGATTCGAACCCAGGGCCTTTGGTCTCGCACACGAACACCTAACCTCTATACCACTGAGATGGCCGACATCCAACGGTTTTAATGTTTAACGTCAATCAATCCACGAAATTGCGCGACCGTCTTCCATTGTCTGAGATATATACCTATCTCTAACCTACACAGATTAGCTCCACTCTTCACTTGAAATAGCAGATCGTGGATACACACTGCTGGGGAGTCCCACAATAGGACGAAACGGCCGTCCGATGCTTCTGGGTTTTCAATAGTGGTCTTACATCAATGAGTTCGTGATTTAAATCAAATACCAAATGAATTTATATTAAACCTTATTTAATTATGTATGACAAAATAAAGTTGACTGCTATATTCTACTGATATAAAATCCCATTATACATAAAATACAGATTGAAATAAAGATCAATATGAATTTCATTCATAACTCTAGTAGAGCTACAGGCTGAAGAACTGTCAACCAATACCAATGTCAAAATAGTCCTACTGTACAGAGCTGAAACTTGGAGAACTACTACAACCATCATCAAGATGATACAAATATTTATAAATAATTGTCTACTCAAGATACTCAACATCCATTGGCCGGATACAATCGGCAACAATCTACTGTGAGAGAGAACAAACCAGCTACCAGTTGAAGAGGAAATTAGAAAAAGACCTTGGAAATGGATAGGATATACATTACGCAAACCATCAAACTGCATTACAAGATAAGCCCTAACATGGAATCCTGAAGGGAATGCGGAAAAGAGGAAGTCCAAAGAACACATTACATTAGGAAATAGAAATCAAATATGAAAAAAAATGAATAACAATTGGAATGAGCTGGAAAGTTTTATCCAAGACAGGGTTGGATGGAGAATGCTGTTAGGTAGCCTATGTTTCTCTCCGAGGAGTAACAGGCGTAAATAACTAAGTAAGTAAGTAAGTAAGTACTAATAGATCAATAAATGTGTAATCTTATAATGAATGAAATTCCTTTCACATTATATATAAACAATACAGTTACATTAACCTAAGTATAAAGGTATTCTAACAAGTTGTATATATATGTATATACATAGACATGAAGTAATTCTATTCATTATGTAATTTGATGAAATATGAAAATTGTTTGTCTGTACATGACCTTGGTTTTTATTTTTTCTTCAGAGGATTTAATAGTTACATAGATACTAAAAAGAAAAGTCATAAATTGATAATCAGTCATAATTTTTTATAATCGTAGTAAGTGATATTCACTTGGTGTTGTTTCTACTTGCATCTTCCCATTGTTATTTACGACTGTAATTGATCAGTCTCCCTCTCTCTCTCTCTCTGTGCGAACTGTCTCGATATTGTCTGAAGTTATAAACTTTATGAGCAAAGATGGTTAGGGACTGGTCAACTGGATGTACCTGCATCCCAGAGTTGATATTCACTCTGAGACTCGAACTTAGTACCGTTTGCTTCAAACACTATCGTGTTATCTACTTAGCTATTAAGTCTTGATATTCATTTGCTTGTGCAATGGGGTGAAGTTTAAATTCACTTGGTGTTGTTTTACTTGTATCTTCCCATTGTTATTTATGACTGTAATTGATCAGTCTCCCTCTCTCTCTCTCTCTGTGCAAACTTTCTCGATATTGTCTGAAGTTATAAGCTTTATAAGTAAAGATGGGTAGGGGTTAGCAATGAAATTCAGTTTGACGCGTATTTCGTCTTATTTAGGACTCGTCAACTGGATATACCTATATGTTAGAGTTGATATTCACTCTAAGACTCGAACTCAGTATCGTTTTATCTACTTAACTGTTAAGTCTTGATATCCACTTGCTTGTGTGCATCCTATGTGGACTGTCTCGATATTGTCTTAGATCACAATCTTTATAAGCAAAGATGGATAGTAGCTTACAGTGGTATCCAGGATGCTTGACATTTCATCCTATTTAGGATTCGTCAAATACATGTACCTATATCTTAGAATTGATATTCACTCTAGCATTTGAACCGAATATCGTTCACTTCAAACACCATCATATTATCCATTTATCCTACTGAAACTTGATAGTCACTTGCTTATATAAGTTATACTACTTAAAATACTTATTTCCAGCTTCATTCTTTCCTTATTATCTTATTATAATGATAACTGGGGGGGGGGGTGGAAACTATTTAACTTACATTTTAAATATTCTTTATAATTAGAAGCTTTTAAACGTTGTAAATTCGTTGAAGGATCTATCCAATTGTCACAACCTCCTGGTGGTAATAATAAACAATCCTCTTTGGTTAATAATAATTTACGTTGTGTTGGAGTAAATGGTATATGTAAATTTTTTAAATGATAATGATTAAAATATTCCATTGATTGTTTTGATTGTTCTGAATAATATTGATTATCATTATTATTTATATTGATTTGACGAGGATAACGATGATTGTTTTGATGATAGTTTGATTTCATTTGATCATATTCATAATGATCATCTAGTAGGAATGATTTAGATGATAGATAAGTTCTATAATTAGGATATTTAGTATATTGTTTAGAATTAGGCATATGATGATAAGTAGTATAACTTGTGGTGGATTGTATTGGAGATAGAGTTGTTTGATAATGATTATTATTATTTTCATATATCCATCTTTTATGGGATGTTTGAATTTGATTATTATTTGGACAACTAGATGGAATATTCATGAAGAATGATTGAGGAGTCTTATGTAATTGTCCACATATAGAAAGAAGAGATAAACATGAGGATTGACAAGGAATATCATGAATCTAGAAGATATTGGAGAACAACAACAACAACAACAAAAAAGAGAAAAGATAGTAGCTGATTATTTTCATAACTGAATTATATTTCAACAGTTAAGAACATGAGTCAATTGAAGCTAGACTACCAAGGAGAACCTGGAAGTACTGAACAGTCGTTTCGTCCTATTGTGGGATTCCTCAACAGTGCGCATCCACGACCCCGCCTCGTGGGATGCGAACTCAGGACCTATCAATCTCGCACCAGGCACTTAACCAACTAGACGGTGTTAATATGGATGCGCACTGCTGAGGAGTCCCACAATAGGACGAAACGGTCGCCTAGTGCTTCCAGGTTTTCCATGGTTGTCTAGCTTCAATTGACTCATGATCTCAACTGTTGGAATTACTACAATCTCCACGAAGCCCCTTATGAATTATATCTGTCATTATAAACTACAGGGTTTAAATATAGAAGCAAATCACTTTTATTACATACCTTTGTGATAACACAGAAAAATGAATATTTAAAACAGGAAACTTGTTATGATTCAAGGAGAAAGGGTTTAAAAAAACACACTGATGATGTGATGTGTGCTATTGATGTTGACAGATATAAGTAGTATGTAATATCAATCGAAAGTGCAATACCTGACAGTAGAAGTTTAAGAAGATCAAAGAGAAGCGAATAGAACGATAACAGAGAAGGATTAGTGTGGAAACGAAAAAACAATGAAGTCTCAGACAATTGATGGATATTTTACAAATGAAGTATTTACTGTATGGTTCTCTGATGTTACTAAGATATTCGATTGTGCCCACTTGTGTTTTCGTTCACTACAATCGTATAGAAGATTTCATCTACTGTCTAAAAACAAGTATGTATGATCGAATTAAGAGAAATGCGAAACCGGATTTTCCATATAATTAATACGAACACATACTACATGTTATAGTGATTGTAGTACACGCTAATAAATAGTTTTATACTGAACTATTGTCATGTTGAAATCATACTTATTCAAAGAACAACAGGGTGATCTCACTTTCTTTTCCTATCCTAACCACCTTTAATTTCCAGGGATGTCCTACTTATTGCCTTCTCGTGGCGAAGGTATTGTTTAGGAGATTGAGAGAACGAAAATCTATTAACCGGCTCTTTAACCGGGTTGATGAACACGGGAAATCCACCTAAGGGAGTTGGAAAACCCAATTATGTACGTGGTCTCCGGGATCATAAGAGAACAAACGGCATATGAACCAATAGTTGGTCACTGGTTACTATGGGACTGCATCACCTAAAGTTGCTCCACTGTTTCGAGAATTAGTCCTTCCAGTCAAAAGTTCCGTGTGTGACCTATTAAGATAAACCACCTGCTTCAGTCTGGGCACCCGAATAGTATCCCAGCCCTTAAACAAACCGAATGATTTGTGTGGCGCATGTATATTTGGTGTCTCTTTGTACTAATAATTGTATTTCGAACATGAAATTATGCACATCTAGTTCTTTAAATGATCTGGGAATTACATACTTCCATAAATTACATCAAAGATTGATGTATCTTTAAACAACCGCTGAGAATGAATGAAAGTCTAGATTGTTATTTCCTTTCAGAATTGTATTATTTATTGATCCTTAATCATGATTGTGACAGTGACTAAAATTTCAATTAAATTTCAAGAGATTTGAGTAGTCAGACAGGAGATTACCTTTTACACTCTATAATATGTATATAAAATATAAAATATTCATTCCGGTATTAGTACAGTGAGAAATATTAAGTCTATCAGATTAATCAGAGTAAACTATTCACCAAATCGAAAGACATTACTTACTTACTTACTTACTTACTTACTTACTTACTTACTTACTTACTTACTTACTTACTTACTTACTTACTTACTTACTTACTTACTTACTTACTTACTTACTTACTTACTTACTTACTTACTTACTTACTTACTTACTTACTTACTTACTTACTTACTTACTTACTTACTTACTTACTTACTTACTTACTTACTTACTTACTTACTTACTTACTTACTTACTTACTTACTTACTTACTTACTTACTTACTTACTTACTTACTTACTTACTTACTTACTTACTTACTTACTTACTTACTTACTTACTTACTTACTTACTTACTTACTTACTTACTTACTTACTTACTTACTTACTTACTTACTTACTTACTTACTTACTTACTTACTTACTTACTTACTTACTTACTTACTTACTTACTTACTTACTTACTTACTTACTTACTTACTTACTTACTTACTTACTTACTTACTTACTTACTTACTTACTTACTTACTTACTTACTTACTTACTTACTTACTTACTTACTTACTTACTTACTTACTTACTTACTTACTTACTTACTTACTTACTTACTTACTTACTTACTTACTTACTTACTTACTTACTTACTTACTTACTTACTTACTTACTTACTTACTTACTTACTTACTTACTTACTTACTTACTTACTTACTTACTTACTTACTTACTTACTTACTTACTTACTTACTTACTTACTTACTTACTTACTTACTTACTTACTTACTTACTTACTTACTTACTTACTTACTTACTTACTTACTTACTTACTTACTTACTTACTTACTTACTTACTTACTTACTTACTTACTTACTTACTTACTTACTTACTTACTTACTTACTTACTTACTTACTTACTTACTTACTTACTTACTTACTTATACCTGTTATTCTTCATATAGGAGAATAGGTCTGACACCAGCATTTTCAATCCAACTCTGTCCTAGGATGTACAGGCTTAAGATTTACATATTTTGAAAAATAATTCGTATTTTATGGATAACTTCTTCATATTTTCACTATTCATCAATTTAATGACTAATTCATGAAAAAGAGTAAGCCATGAGATTTTCTTAAAGGATTTGACTGAGATACTAATATTAATATGATGTGACTTATTGAAAGCTGAAGACTGTCATCAGTTTAATTCGAATTCATTGAATTTTTGCACAGTTAACATACAACTATATCAATTTCCTTGTCGTTCTTGAAACAAAAGAGTTGATTTACTCATTTGTTTAGTTAATTTGAAGCAGAAATAACAGTGATCAGAAAGCATTAAACGATATAATTCTCGTGAATGTTAACGGCTGAAGAATCTCATACTAGAACGAAACAGTCATCCAGTGCTTCTAAGTTTTCAATGGTGGTCTAACATCAGTCGATTCATGATCTCAGCTAAAAACTTAACAATCTTCACAACCCTATACTGATAATTACTATGTGTTGACTAGTGACTAGCTTCGTGATGTAATTCTCGGCAATCTAGTGAGAAGCCAGTGGAGCTAATTCGTTGCAGGTAGGGACAGGTATCTACCTCAGATAATGGAAGATGATTGCGCAATTACATGGATTGCTTGAAGTTATACATCAACACCATTGGATGTCGATTCATTAATATAGGGGTTAAGTGTTCGCGCGCGAAATTGAGGGTCCTGGGTTCGAACCCCTTTGGAGTGGGATCAAGGATGCACACTGCTGAACAGTCTCATATTAAGACGAAACGGTAGTCCAGTACCTCTAGGTTATCAATGATGGTTTAACATAGATCGATCCATGATCTCAAACAAAAGCTTACAATCTCCACAACCCTATATTGATAAATAATTATCTGTTTAGTCGCATTTTATATGTTCTAGTGTTTACAAAGCCTTGTCACTTTGTTATTGTCAAGTTGCAGACATTTAATACAGCGATGAAAATTCTATAAAACATATTTATTTCCTTGTTTTAACAGTGGTTTTGTTTTAAATTTATTACACTTAAAATAATTTGTGGTTCTACCTTATGGGGTGGAATCTTGGAGAACCACTGAAGCCATCATCCAGAACATACAAGTGTTTATTAACAATTGTCTACGGAAAATATTTCGGATCTGTTGGACAGACACTATCAGCAACAACCTACTGTAGGAAAGAACAAACCAGATTCCACTAAAGGAAGAAATCAGAAAGATATGTTGAAAGTGGATAGGGTAGCACCCAACTGTGTCACAAGGCAATCCATCACTTGGAATCGTCAAGCTTAAAGAAGGCGAGGAAGACCAAAGAACAAACTAAGCCGAAAAATGAAAACATATGAGAAGAATGAACAACAATTGGATAGAACTAGAAAGGAAGGCGCAGAACAGAATGGGTTGGAGAATTCTGGTCAGCAACCTATGCTTTATTGGGGATAACAGGCATAAGTAAGTAAGTAATTTATGGTTTGGTAATGCTCAGCATATTTAACTTATGCAAATAACCCATGCGTTTAACATGTACGTAATGAAATGTTGACCTTTTCAATAGATTATCTTGTCGTTTATAAGTAATAAGCCAAGGAATTTATTTGACGATTAAATATAGAATAATCTTGACATTGTTTAGCACAATATATTGTCTACAAATATTTCCCAAATAAATTCACTTGCTATTGTTTACATGATCTTCTCTCAATACCGGGAAAAGTCTTCAACAGGGTATTGTTAAACAGGATGAAGGACTGCGTAGACGCCCAACGTTGTGACCAACAGGCAGGATTGCGTAAGGATAGATCGTGTACAGACCAAATCGCAACTCTACGGATCATTATGGAACAATCAACTGAATAGCATTCATCACTCTACATCAACTTTATTGACTACGAAAAAGCATTTGATAGCGTGGACAGAACAACACTATGGAAACTTCTTCGACACTACGGCGTGCCTCAGAAGATAGTCAATATCATACAGAATTCATATGATGGATTAAACTGCAAAATCGTGCATGGAAGACAGTTTACAAAGTCGTTCGAAGTAAAGACCGGTGTCAGGTTGCTTAATCTCATCCTTTCTCTTTCTCCTGGTGATCGACTGGATCATGAAGACGTCAACATCTTAAGGGAAACGTG